TGCGCATAGGAACTCCATTCACCTACATTGAAACATAAACTCCTCTTGTGCCACACTCATTTTTGGTCTTCAGAATCTATAGTTTCTGTTCTACATGATCCTGGTATTTTTATTTTAGTTAATTTAACAATCAGGTGCCTTCTGTCTCCAAATTTGGCTTCAAAGTTCTTTACAAAACACATTCAAAACATAACATTATTTCTCCCTTTGTACATCCCTATTTAACTATTAGACCCCTATTATTCTCACAAGGAAATAAACAAATTATCTAAAATTCCTAAACATCACATTAAAATGATAAGTTCCATGTTAGAATATTGGAAAAAGTACAACCCGAAGTACTGAAAATGCTACAAAAGTGACCAAGAAAATGGGATAATGAATGCAACAACAGGCAGTAGATGAGTACATGCAGTCCCTCACTGATCCAATCCACTTTATCTATATAGTACATTTTATAAAAAACAAAAAACAAGTGAAATTAAATAAAAACAATTGGAATAAAATAATAAAAAACTATGAAAATAAAATAAAAACAATTATCCATATACAAAAACTGATGCCTGCCAGTTTTAGTTGTGATTTAATTGTGAGGGTCCTAGTATCAAACATGCATGTATCGATCTAAAACCAGGTGAAAATGAGAGAGAAAACAACTATAACGTGGTCAAACACTGCCAAAAGCCATTTCTGAATGTAACAATCTTGTAATCTGCGGAGCTACTCCCCTGACACATTTACAAATCAAGCACAGTCTAGACGTGGGCTGTTAAATATGATTTATCTCCCAAAGATCAGGCAAAAATTAAATATTGATTTCTTAGTAACTATTCAGAAGAGGGCGAAATATGAAGGGCTCTGATCTCAGGCATGTTGCCATAATTTAACATTTCAGACTTTGATCCATTTAAACTTTAAATCTCAGCCTCAAACAGCCGGCAACAGTGTGAGGTTTTCAGATAAATGTGTGACTTGTGGATTGGGTTTGATTTACAAACAAAGTACAAAATAACTAGAAAATCCACACCATGACCTTTGTAGTCCAATTTGTTTTGCTTTTAACATTATATTTGTTGAAAGAAAAAGTATTATTTATGAAGTTTGGTACCTCAGCAAGTTCCTAATGTGAAAAAGAATTACATTTATTCAAAGTCTCTGTGGTCCAACCTGACTTGCATGTGTGTGTAGGAGAAACCAGAGCACTCAGAGGAAAGCCAAACCTGGATCTGTTTGGCTGAGAGGCAAACAGGTCCTGGTACTAACCACTCTGCCATCTGCTTGTGCATAGTTAGATATATGATCAAAACAAACAGGTGTTTTTGGTAATGGAGTAGCAGTGTAAGAGGCCACAGAAGAGTGGAGAGAGGAAGGACTGTGTGTCCGTGCTGTTTTCTCATACTAATATATGAATGGGAATAAGCACTAGATTGATATTTCACACCCACACCAAATCACATTCGTTTAGTTTCACACAGATTGTATAAAATTGTCTTTTTCACGCAATAAAATCAAATAAACATTTGTTAGACAGAAAGAAAGAACTGGCACCCGATAATCTTTACGCTTTTATCCATGCATTTTAAAGAATCTCACACACAAAGTCCCTCCTTTTTTTGTAATATTTGTAATCTGTTGACTGTAATCAATAGTCAGTAAACAACATACCTGCATGTGAAAACTAGATGCGGTCAGACCTCTGAAGCTGTGCAGGGAAGGGCCTGGTTAGTACTGTGATGGGAGACCTAAGGGAACACCAGGTGCCACAGTAGAGAGACTGCTGCTGCAAAATTCCAAATTGGCGTGGGGTCCTTAGGAAAGACCCTTCACACAAATTGCCTAAAATGAGTGGCTACAGTTGTAGTTTGTCACCATTAGGTATGGAGAGAATGAAAAATGACATGTGAAGCATCTTTGAGTGTCCAGAAAAGCGCTATATAAAACCAATGCATTTTCATTATTATTAACATATTCTCACGGATTATCACTCCCCTACTGTCAGGTAATATGTGCGGGACTTAAAGGCAGACTTATGTCAAACCTGCGTGTTCACGTCACATACTTGATGTGTGAAAGAGCAGATGCAACCAGCTGGTTCAGTGACAGCCAAACTCCAGGCACAGTCTCTGGGATTGATCGACACCAGACTGCTGCCTCTTTAAACCCACCTCCCCACAGAGTGATCCCACCAGCTGTCTCCAAACTATAGACATTCAAACAGATGACACCGGACAACCTGCACGTTTGTGGCTGCATAAGTGAATGAGGCATTGATTCGAGGCTTGCACATAATGAGAGCAGTGGGTCTCTCTGGTACCATCATTGCAGAGGCGGGAAGCAAAGATTTATTGAACTCTGCCAAGAATTACAAAATAAGAGGTATTAATTGCTTGAATCGAGAGTTTGAGTCTTAATTTTAGTACATTGTTGCTTTAAATTCTCATTCTAAAAGAGACACTTTTTGTATATTTTTAGAACAAGATCCTTTTGCTTGTCCCATTGGCCACCGCTCAAATTTAAGATATGATTAGCCAAAATTTGAGCAATTATTTTTCCATCATATTTTTGCAGTGAAAGATTAAGGATTTCTGTTTGTAAATTGGTTCATTAAACTGCTAAGAATGAAGCTACCGGATTTGCCACAAAAAGGGATCACAAAGATTTTAAGTAATTTATAATTTTATGATTTGGGCAATTTATTCTCTTTCCTTAAAACTGGAGAACAAAGTTTTGAATACACAAGAAATGGAAAAAATTGAGCCCCTTTAAAACTGCATATTGTTAATTACTCTGCGCCATGTGTGATGTTAACAAAAAAGTGATTTCCACATCTACTTCAATATGCAAGGCAAGTGTATTTGTATGGCACAGTTCACACACAAGGCAACTCAAAACAAGAAAAGAAACACTAAATCATAAATAATCACCTGGATTAGAATTTTGTTAGAGTAGAAGCCAGTCTCACATTTGCAGGAAGACTGTTTCAGATTTTTGCGGTATAAATCTGAGACACTCCCTCGCTGGTACTGTCTCTGGGCACCAGCAGGAGGCCAGTCTCTGTGCTCCTCAGCGTCCCAGCAGGAGGCCAGTCCCTGCTGCTAGTCCAAGGGTCCAAGGTGGTTCATATAGCAATAAGCTGTTTCACTGTCTAGATATTGTCTGCTTAATGTCTAATTTTATATTCCAATATGAAATGCCAAAGTAAATATTCTTGCCAAATGTATTCTGGGCCAAAATGTACATGTGACATAATGCTTAAAATTTGTCCTTTAAACCAGTGTTTTTCAACCTGTGTGCCGTGGTACATTTGTGTGCCTTGAGATGATGTTTGGTGTGCCTTGGGAAATATTCACATAATCGGTCAAAATAATGTGAGAAGATCAGAAAGACTTTTTGCGCTCATTTCATTTTCTATTAGAATGACTTTGCTTTCTCACTAAAAGCTGCAGAGTGTCACGCTGCCAGTTTCAGCTGTCGGTGTGGCATGTGAGTGTTTTTTCAACCAAAAAGGTGAACCACGTGTAGCACCAGTGTAACCAGGGCACACAATTCTAAGTCTGTGGCTAGTAACAGAAGTCTAGTTTCAGCTCTAGGAGGGAGTGGACAGGAGACGGAACGCCGTTTTTTTCAGGTACCATGTACAGTATTTAGTAAATAAAGAAAGAAAAAGTACCAAAACATTTAGTGTACACCAATAGCACCAAGAAGTATAGATCATGTAAAAGTCCATTCAGTAACAAAAGCACTTTAAGTAACAGTTATTCAATGCAGCAATCAAAAATACAAATAACAATCATCACAATAAACAGATTTCAATCCAAGTTCAAAAGTCCAGGCTACAACAAAGGTTAGGAAATACTGATTTAAACTATGATATACCAAATCCACATGCATAAGATACGACCTATAACATGAGGCACTTCCCCCTCACCCATTTTACAAGTCAAAATAAATATTCTGTACACAACTTTAAACTTGTATCAATTTCCTTGTTATCCATGTGGGACAGCGGTAAAACCATCTTCGCCTCCCTCCCTCCCTCCAATTACACTTTCTGCTTAATGTTTTTGCTCATGTACTGCACGTTGATGCTAATTACTACTGGGAGCAGATAGGGGAATACACACAGAGACAATTCTTTTGATTAAATATTGAAAGGAGTGAGTTTATAAGATACCATCGCAAGGCCAGCAAACTTATAGCCTCCCATTTGGGCTTTCACTCCCGGAGCCGTCCACAAGTGTTGAGCCTGGAGTCAGTGTGGCTTGAGGCGGTATTGTATTCTTTCATCCTGATATTTGCCACACAGTCTATACATGCGTACTGCAAACTTCCTGTCCGCCCATGGGACTGGATCTCTGCTTCACTGCGGTTTTATCCTGAGGCAGCTCTTTTTCCCACTGTTTTTTGGTTCGTTTTTTTTTCTGCAGAAAGAGGAGGAGGGTCCGGGATATTAATCATTTTTGTTTTATTCTTGTGAACTATGTGGTTTATATGTCGGTCCTGTTTGTTTTCTGCAAAAAGCAAATACGCGTTTTTTTCATTTGTTCAAAGATGGAGGCTTTTGTGATTTTGGACTGAATGAAAACAAATGTTTGCTATATTCTGCTATGTTCTAGCATCATCTGTGGAGTGTTTTAAGTTTTGCTCTTGGCTTTCACCACTGTGAGTTATGTGGTCCTCTGTCTGTTCCCTTTTTTGGTATTATCATATTTGTTTTTTGTTTTTTATCTGTATTTAAATGATTAATAAAAGAAATAAAAACAAATAAATGATTAATTTAAATAAATTAATCATTTAAATGTATTTTATTCTAAATAAAATAAATATCCTATAAAATAGTGGATTGGATTATTCTTATTCTTCAGTGTTCTTTTTTGGAATTGATATGCAACTTTTATTTTTTTTGGTAATAACATGAAGAATTTTGATGCAATGTTTCAGTGAGAAGACTGTGTATATTGTATGAATTAGTGAATAATGACTGGGCTTTTTCTCCACAGCGTCATTTGGAAACTTCTCGTAGCCGTCCTTGAGAGTCCTGTCCTAAGCCCACGTTTTGATCCTGAAGACACAGAAGAGACTGGACCAGGACATGGACTTCACACCGACCCATCGAGAGCATCCACCTCAGGGCGCGTTCACACATGGGTCAAGTGGACTCGGTTCACTTCAGAAGAAACGCTACAGTCCACATAATGAACTGTTCCAAAGCAAAGAGGGATTTAACCACAGGGAGAGAGGTGCACCAGAGTTCAGGTGGACCAGGTGTGAACGCTCCCAGAGAAGACCAGGCCATCAGGCTTAATACCAACTAATGACCAGTTTGTTGTTTTTCTTTTTTTGTCTGTCCGTTTACACAGGTACACAGTATTACCATATATGTGTAGATTTCTCAGATTACATGTTGTATCCATTTCTGAATAGGGACAGCCACAAGCTAATCAATGGGCAATTCTTAACATGAGAACTCAGAGTGCAGTCAATTTGACAACAATTACTCAACTTATGTACACGTTAGGATTTCCTAACATTGTGATTTTTTCTGCATCAATACTTTGTTTATTGTTTAATCCTTATTTCTATTTGAAATGTACTTCTAACTTCTGAGGGAAGTTTCAAGACTGCAGCCCACAGTAGTAGAGTGGATAGCACTCGTTTCTCAGCCAGAAGGGTTTGAGTCCTGGTTGGAGCAGGTCCTTGCTGAGTGGAGTTTACACGTTCTTCCCATGTCTGTGTAGGTTTCCTCTAGGTGCTCCAGTTTCCCCTACCACTAAAAGATAAGATAAGATGTGCTTTATTTATCTCACATAGGAGAAATTTACAAAAAAAAAAACATGCACAATAGATCTGAATGTAATGAGTGAGAGAATGGATAGTGTTGATTGGGGGGTTTTGATGCGCCAGGTTGTTTGTCGTCTCGCTTCCGTCATCACCGTTTGGACAAAATTAAACAATATCTGATCTCTGAACATTGTAGAGCGCTTTGGGTGACCTTGGTCTGTAAAAATGCGCTATATAAATAAAGATAACTTACTTAGTTACTAATTCAAATGAGGCCTTTTTTGGACGAATGGCAACCCACATTCTATCGCCTTGGGGTCCCCCCGGACGTGCTGGTGGAGGTGTGTGTGGATAGACTGCTGCCCCCGCGACCCGGCAACGGATGAAGCGGAAGAAGATGGATATTTGCGCTCTCGTGCTGCAACATCAATAACGGTTATCTTTTCTTTATCCTGTTAAAACTTATACACTTGGAGTCAATAACACACGATTATTGCGTTAGCTCCAAACATGCACGTTTTTGTTTCTGAAGTTTCAATATTCATTCAAACATCTGAAGGTAAACTTTGAACAAGAAAGTAATCTTTATTCATATAGTGCATTTTACAGACCCAGGTCATCCAAAGCGCTTCACATCTATCCATGCCAGATGTGACGTGTACATTTCTCCTGTGTGAGATCAACAAAGTCTATCTTATCTTATCTAACAATGTGGAGTATTTTATGTTACTGAGTGTTTAAAACTCAGTAACACAAAATAGACTCTAAACCACATGGATTCATTGAAAAAGAATGATTGTAAAGATTGCAGAAAGCACGTGTGTTATGTTCAATAAATACATTTTTGGTCCATAGTTAATGTGACATTTCTAATGAAAATGCAGCCTTGATATTTTCCATTTGATGAATTGTAATGTTGTGGGATGCCCTTGAGGAAACACACCAGAAACCGTAATTAAATGAAGAACATAAAATTAAATAACACACATTTTCCTCCGTCGAACAACTGTAGAGTTATGTCTAAAAAAAAGAAGATAGTAGCAGTGTTTAAAAATGTGAAGAAAGCTTAAAATCCTCATTATGGTTTTTTTAGGCTTTGGGAGCAGTCTGCATCCTATTCCAAATCAAGACAAAGAATAATGCTTTTTCTTACTGAAATGAAAAGCAAGAAAAAATGTATGGATGGATTTTGGAAAAAAATGTGATGACCAAATAACTGTTACTACATCCATTAACCAATCAAACACGCTAATTTATAGACATTAAAAAATCATCCATGCCACACAAACTCCCATATACAGTGACCAATCCAATCCATGTTATTTACGTAGCACAATATATAAAACAAGTTGACAAAGTGCTGCACAGAGTTAAAAGTGATACAATTAGAAATAGCTCTGTCACTTTTATTTGCATATTAAAGCTGCATTACCTCACTTTATTTTTTTATTCATTAGGAAAATTCAATCCATATCCATGCAGTGCATTGGGATATACGTCCTTTTGAAGAAAAAGTAGCGCTGGTTTGTGCTGGCGTGTCATTTTATTTCAGATTGAGTTTTCTTGCAACAAGGAAGAGAATCTGTTTTGGGACCAGATTGTGACCAATCACAGCGGACTGGTTAGCACAGACAGCTGAGGTAAACAAGCGGTGGAGGCAAACCTGAAACTTCCCGTGTCTTACTCAGCGAAACATCCATCCAAAAGAAAGTCTCGTCCTCCTCGCTTCCTGGTTCTATCATTCTATGGTCACGCCATCCACGTTCAAATGTGCGATCCATATTGTGAGACGCTAGCTCCGTGAACAACAGTGGGTGTGGGGTAGTGGGGGGCGATAGCTTCGTAGATTGCGGGGAGGGGAGGAGAAAGAACGAAGCCAGCGCTTACTTTGAAACCGCTGCTTCGAAATCACATAAACAGTTAGTGCAGCTTTAGGTAGAACACTGGCGAGATAGTTCTGCAGACTGGAGTTCTCTTGCACAGTTATTCCAATGTGCTTTTACTGCAAATAATCAGATTTTACATTTCACTGCCGAGGATTTTACACCCTGCCGAGGGAGTGATACAGGCAAATTTACAGAACTGTTGATTCAAGTGTTCTGTCCCTATTATAAATGGCTAATAGTAATAGAGAATAAACGTGAAAATATAAGTAAATTACCGAGCCCCTTTCTGTCTAAATCGTATTATGCCAATGAACCACTATGACATTGTGCTCTGTGTGCAGTTTTGTACCTTTTTAAAACCCAAAATATTACCCATAAAGAAGAGTTATGGCTTAAATAATTGTACATATAATTCCATGGCTGTATTTGTAGCTGGTCATTTTTAATATCTTTTTCTACTTAAGATATAATTTCATATTCTAAAACATTACATAGTGACATTACCTTATTTCAACGACCAAAACCATGCATACAATTTCTTCTTTTAAGTTTTCATTTGAAATATGATGTGGAGTGTTCTCAAATGCATGAAAACAAAATAAGAGGATTTTCGAGCAACTGTAGAAGGCTCTAGAATAATCAGCATTTATCATGTTTGTAGTTGGGAAGTTGGGTGAAGGAGGGGGGTCCTTTTTTTATAATATTAATTATTTTAAAAAGGCAAAGAAAAAGGCTTTCTTCTGTTTCCCTTGTGACACACTGTGATTCCAAGCGGATCCTCAAAGCACGACAGCTCCAGAGACAGAACCGCCATGTTTTGAAGTGACTGTAGCGCAGGCGGCAGCTCTGAGAAGGTTATGAGGAGCGTAAACATAAAAATAACACACGAAACATCCCTTCTGTCGATGATTCCTTTGAGCTGCTGCTAAACTCACACTGTGTTAGGAGTGCTTGGTGTTTTGTGGGGTTTTTGACTTGAGGAAGGAGGGAGAGGGGACTGAAGTGATTGCTGTACTCTTTAAAACGAATGGACAATATGAATAAATGTTAACTTTGTAGATATTGACATGTATGAACAATGTGAAGTCTTTTTAGAATAAAGTTGAAATATTTGAGTGCTTTCTGTTTTATTTTGACTACTTTCGGGATTGCATCACGTTTGGTACGATTGACAAAAACATGACATTAAATGATCACACATTTACCATACTTTCTCAAACATAGGGCGAACCTGCATACAAGCCACACCACAAAAATGAGGTATTGATAACAGGGAAACAGGGAATTGTATAAGAGGGAAAAAAAATTAAAAAAATAAACCAGAATAGTCCTGAAAGGGAGCAGGAAGAAGAAAAACATATTGAATCCTACCCCCATAATACTGTACATGAGCTTCTTTGTAACACAGGGCTATCAACAACATTCGACTAATTTCATGAATTTTTAGTAAAAAACACAAAAAGAGAATATTTCCCTTTCACATCTACCACGTTGCCAATAGCTTTGAGGGTTTGCTTCAACCCTCAGAAAACAAAAAACTAATTTGAAAAAGTACTGACATACTGATATCCATATGGAATTTAAAACTGAAATAACAGATTTTCCAAGATCACCGGACTATACAAGGCCCATGACAGACTTTTACGTTTATGTACCTTTGCACAGGTAAACATGTTGGTGATGTGAACATTTGTTTTTTTAGAATAAAGTAAAAATTACTTACTTTTGTCCATTAACTCTGCTCTTAAAACAGCCAAACTTTACCACATTAGAAATACACATATTATTTGCATTGCTGTGTGAGCCATATAAATATAAAGTATATACTGTACTTTGTTGCAGTTTTTATATCTTCTCCAATCCTGCTTTTGAGACACTGATGCACAAAGTGTGTTATAGGTGTGTAATTGAACTTGAAGTTTTAGATGTAAATGGCAGAATACAATCATTATTTATTTGCATGATGACATTTTAAATAGATAAACTGCCAAAAGCTCCACTCAGACTTCAGTTTAGGTTTTGGTGTTTTCAGAAAGGGGATGACAGTGGGATGTCGTTGTTTCTCAAAGTCTCATCAAAACTGCTGAGTCTCCATCACTGTCTGTGAAAACAAACATGAAATAAATCTGTGTTTGAAGTTAATACATGAGACAACAGTTCTCACTTTAGGCCGCAGAGCAGGGACAGTTTCTTCTACTCTCTTCAGACAATGATGCTTCTTTGTAATCAAGAATAAGAAAATGCTTTTTTTAATTAACTGTCAGATCAGTGAGGTCAGTGTCCAGGTCTCGTCTAAAACCTTGAGGAGACCGGGATTTTTCTGTTGCTGCCCCCAAACTGTGAAATACCTCTGTACATCAGAGCAGCTCATTCAATGGAAGTTTTAATATCTTAGTCTAAAGAAGCAAATGAATAAATACAAAATAAAAATGGCTCTCTGATAAAAAAAAAAGTAGGCAAGGCAAGGCAAGTTTATTTGTATAGCACAATTCATACACAAGGCTGAACAAAATAAGATAGCATTCAAATAAATAATCACAGTACATTAAAAAGATGAAAATATAAAATCCCTCAGTTGTATGCACAGCTAAACAGAACTGTGTTCAACCTTGTCTTAAACAATGTCAGAGAGGAGGCCTGTCTCACATCTTCAGGAAGATTGTTCCAGATTTTAGCAGCATGAATCTGAAAAGCAGCCTCTCCATGTTTAGTTCTGACTCTGGACACTAACAGGAGTCCAGTCCCTGTGCTCCTCAGAGTCCGGGCTGGTTCATATGGGACTAACATGTCACTAACATATTTTGGTGCGAGGCCATGGAGAGACTTGTACACAAGCAGAGCTGTTTTAAAGTCTATTCTCTGAGCCACAGGAAGCCAGTGCAGGGACCTGAGGACTGGACTAATGTGGTCGTACTTCCTGGTTCTAGTCAGGACTCGAGCTGCTGCATTTTGAATGTACTGCAGCTGTTTTACAGCCTGTTTGGACAGACCTGTGAGCAGGCCATTGCAGTAGTCTAACCTCCATCCATCCATCCATTTTCTTCCCCTTAATCCATTTCTGGGTCGGGGGGGTGGCCAGAGATGCCACCCAGTACACAGAGCACCAGCATAAAGTCTACTGTAACCTACTGGAGACAAATGCATGGATAAGAATCTCCAAGTCTGCTTTAGACAGTTTTTGATCCTGGCAATGTTTTTTAGGTGTTAAAAAGCTGCTGATGTTAGTGATTTGATGTGGCTATTAAAATTTAAGTCTGAGTCCAGTATTACCCCTAGATTTCTGACCTTGTTTGAAGGTTTTAGGGAGAGAGACTGTAGGTGACAGATGACGCTCTCTCTTTGTTTCTGGGGACCAAAGACAATCATTTCAGTTTTGTCTGCGTTTAGCTGAAGGAAGTTGTTTTGCATCCACTCACTGATCTGTTGGATACAGTGAAGGAGTGAGTCCATTGGTCCATGTTCTTAATACAAAAACTTCAATTCAATCCCCAGACACCAGTTCTCCTTTGTGTTTCCCCTTTGTAGTTAAATCTTTACCTTTTCAGAGTTAGGTGCAAATGAGTCACAGGCCAAAACTACACATTTATGGGAAAATGTATTTATGGATTTACTATTCCAATCAAGTTTGAAGACTGTTTATTCCTGTGCATACAACTGACGGATTTTATTTCTATTGTTTATATTACACTGTTATTTGTGTGATTTTAATGTTTTTTTAATTTCCTATGCAGTTTTAATGTGTGTTAATTTCCTGTGTGATTTTAATCTTTTAATGTTTTTTATGACTTGTGTGATTTGAATGTGTTCATTACCTGTGCTGATGATTTGTGCGTTGTGTGATTTGTGCTTTGTGTTGCCCTGTGTAGGAAAAGCGCTCTCCAAATAAAGATGGATGGATTGATTTGTGTAGCTCTAAATCACAACAGCAAAGAACTTTACAAAATTATCGATTCACCAACAACAGATCAGAGAATCAAACAATTTGTACACGGGAAATGCAACAATAACCAACACATACGTCCACAGTTAGCAGGATGTCCATAAATGTCCTGGATCATCACCCCAGGGCCAGCCATTTGTTTGTTAGTTTTTTGTTGTTGTTAAATCCCAAATAAAAATGCGTCTGTGTGGCATTCTCCAGCTTTAATAAAGTGCAGCATCAGTAACATGAATGCAAATACTTAGACTTAGAATTCTTAGCATTGTCACAGTAGCTTGCATATTATTTCAAAAGAAAAACGTTTAGACAATTTGAAAATAATCATAATATTAAGGTAATATTTTGAGAATAGAATAGAACAAACAGCACACCTGAAGAATCTGTGTCAAAACGTTTCCACAATCGTCCACCTCTGTGCAGACTGGGATTTTGTCACAGCAGAAAACATATTTGTAGTAATTCACCTTTCGTGGCTGTGTCTTTAACTATTAAAGTAAAATAAAAATATAACAACAGTACCTTCAAAGCTTTAATGTACAGTACTCTCATCTATTTTGTATTATATTGACTGCATGACTATTTATTTATTTCATGACTATATTCTACGATCAATTACTTAGTTTATTCTTTTTGTCCCAGTATTGTTGTATTTTTTTTTTTTAAGGGGGGTCCATCTATCCAAATAGTCTATGATCTAGCCTTGTTCGTTCAAAAACAAGCCGACACTCCCCTCTAGCGGTGAACTTGTGGCACTGTCGCAGTCCTCGCTCTTGGCCTCATTAACATCAGATGACATCATGTTTTTTAATGTTGAATTTTTAGCCCGTGACTGTCGCCAATCAAAACCTGCTATTGTTATTGTCCAATTGATGGAGGTGTGACGTCATTCTTTTATGAACTAATGCACACTCCAACACGGAAAATATGGACAATAATGGATATAAAGGTTATTCCAAATTATTTATGCATTGATATGGACATATAGCTTTGCATGTATAATCTGGAATAAATCATTGAACTGGGTTTAGTTGGTCACAAAACCCATATGAACAAAGATATTCAAATTTAATGCAGTCTGTCAGCAAGTAAGTTTATTTTTATTGCACAGTTCATACACATGGCACCTCAGAATGCTTAAAAAAACAAGTGACATTACAATCAAGGCTTTAAAACCATAAATAATCACCGCACATTAAAAAGAGTGAAGACACAACCTGAAATCGAATCCTGTCAGAGTAGAAGCACGTCTCACAATTTCAGGAAGACTGTTCCAGATTGAAACTATTTACAACATATTTTAAGCGTCTGGGTCCTGGGTCGTTGATATGCAGGTTAAGAAGAGAAGACGCAAGGGACTCGTAAAAACCAGCAGCTGTAGCCAAATACTTTTTTTTTTAGTGTGTTGGTTTAGGGAATTGAACTCTGACCAATTTCGTCAGGGGGTGAAGGAGGGAGAGCGGTGTAACGTCGTCGTGCGTAAGAGCCTCTGATACCCGCAGCGTGGAGATGGAATATTAAGACAATCATCGCCCCCTAATGCGCTCGATAAACATATTAATAACGCGAGAGTTTGTAAGTTGCCTCCCGAAGACTGAAGTGGGAACTGTCAAAAGGTGGAGTGGATTCGCACATGAGCCTATACTGTACCACTGTATGCGCCCGCTGGGAGAGATCCGCGAAAAATCCACGCAATAATCCCGAGGTAAGAAGCCGGGGACGTGTCGCTTCTATTCGCAATTTCACGTTTGCGTCTTGTTTTCCATCGCTTCGTCTTCTTTTACTCTAATCAGACGTGCTGTCGACGTCGAAAACGCTGCACTAAACATAATTCTGTGCCTCCCTTCAGCTTCGAGCAGAGCAGTGTTCTGGATTTTTTTTTTTTCTACTCCTCCTTCATTATAAAGTCGCCATTTTGCTTCACTGCCTATATAAACCATTTCGTTTTCTATGATCTGGTCCCGAAGGAGCCGGGGACGTGTGTGCGTTTGGGGGATTATTTTTGACGTTTGTGGAGTGCCAGGCGAGGAGACAGAGGTTGGAAAAGTGCCTAGTGGTTTACATATTTATGCAGGGAAAGGAGGAGGGGGGCGCTGTTATGGTCTGAGGTTCCGTGTGATATTATTGTGCACGATCTACTGTGACCTAGCTGTCTCTGTCTTCTCCCTGTGCGTGTGTGTGGGTGCGTGCGTGCGTGTGTGTGTGTGTGTGGAGCCAGCCGGACTCTTTCCCATCTAAAATCCTCCCCTCCAAACCCTCCGTGTCCGCTCCACAAGCACAGCAGGTGCCTTTGCCATGGAGCGTCACAGCGGGGGGTAGATAAACGCCCATGGAGCCCGTCTCGTGACCCTCGTGGGCCCCCGTGCGCGTCACGTGGGTGCGAGTGACCCCCCAGGGCGCCCTGACCTTAGTGCTGACCACATCTCCGGGAGGTGTGGCTGAGTGTAGACCAGTGAGCGTGTCATTGACAGTAAACAACCTGTAAAGTGTAAAACGGTGTAAAAATGTGTTTAAACTAGGCATGGCTAAACTACGGCCCGCGAGCCGAATGTGGTCCTTTGTGGTGTTCTTATATGCCCCCCTCTTTTGCTAACACCAAGAAGCTTATTTCATTGAATACTTTCTAATCCAGATTGGGAGCATTTGAGTTATCCTCTCTGACGTGTAATTTTATTCTTTTGCTGAATCTTGTCCAGGACCCTATTCAAAAACCTGTAAAGTGTAAAACTGTGTAAAAATGTGTTTAAACGAAGCATGGCTAAACTACGGCCCACGAGCCGAATGTGGTCCTCTGTGGCGTTCTTATATAGCCCCCTGTTTTGCTTACACCAAGAAGCTTATTTCATTGAATACTTTCTAATCCAGATTGGGAGCATTTGAGTTATCCTTACTGACATTTAATTGTTTTTATAATCTAAAGGGGCGTTCACACCGGACTTAACTTCGGCGTCAAAAGCGTCAAGTTTGTATTGAAAGTGAATGGTGAAGCGCGTCAGGTGAAGCCGAGGGGCCCGGCGTCACTTGACGCGCGTCAAAAGCTTCAAGAGTCGCGCGTAATACGCGCTCACTTGAAGCTTTTGACGCGCGAAACGCTCGCGTATCACAACAGTGCCTTTGACGCCGAAGCTGAGCAAAGCTGAGCTTTTGAAGCTTTGACGCGGGCTTCAACCAATCAGGAGACGAGGAGCAGCAGCAGCAGAGGGTCTGTCTCTGTCATGGAGAGAAGTCATGTATCTGCTGCTGCTGTTTTATTGTCATTATTGTTATTAGTGTGTGTGTGTAATTTGACATTTGTATCTGTAGCAGAACAATCTGTGTGTAAATAACCACGGTGTACGAAGAGAAGAACGGAAAAAAGCCTAAGTGCTATGCACAGGTTCTGTTTTACACACGAATCTCTTTTTGACACACCTCTGCCACCAAGCGTGTGTCAAAAAGATTCGTAAGTGTAATGTGGTTGTTCTAGCAGTACACCAGCAGATGGTGCTGTTGTAGATGGTTATTACCTACACGCAAGCAAACCAAAACCTACTGCCTTGACAAGACACACTACCGCAGCTGTTTATGATATTTTTTTCCTATATTCAAAATCCTGTCATTCACGCCACTGTATGATACATGGATCTATTATAATAACTGGATAGGGTGTTACTAGCTTGAAGCTGAAGGATTCTCGCGTACTGCAGACTAAATTCACGTGGGCTACACAGAAATTTTCCCCATAGAACTCAAAGTAAACTAAAACAGCTGACAGATAACCTACAGCTTTCATAAAGGTCGGATTTTGTGGGAATTTTAGTGTTCCTTGTCAACCTGAACTTTTCTTCTTCTTAAATCCTTCGGTTTTCTCTATCTACACTATAGTGCCACAAACTCAGCTGGTTTGCTTGCGTGTAGGTAATAACCAGCTACAACAGCACCATCTGCTGGTGTACTGCTAGACCAACCACATTACACTTACGAATCTTTTTGACACACGCTTGGCGGCAGAGGTGTGTAAAACAGATTCTGTGCGTAGCACTTTTCCGTTCTTCTCTTCGTACACCGTGGTTATTTACACACAGATTGTTCTTCTTTCTTTACACACACACCAATCTTTCTACGCACACACAAATCTTTTTACGCACACACAAATCTTGATACGTACATACAAATCTATTTACACACGCACAAACATTTCTTTTACACACACACAAATCTGGTTACGCACGCACAAATCTTTTTACGTACACACAAATCTGGTTACGCACACACAAATCTGGTTACGCACGCACAAATCTGGTTACGCATGCACAAATCTTTTTACGCACACACAAATCTGTTTACGCTCACCCAAATATTATTGAAACAATAATAGCTCCATAGGGGAGAGGCAGGGAGAGGCGAGCGTGAGCCGGGGAGAGGCGAGAGCGAGGCGGGGAGAGGCGAGCTCCGGGGTTTGAGAACTCAGACTGGGCGAGTGACATGCGGAAGTACCGCTGAAAGCGAAACTCCTTCGTACGCAGCTCCTGGAGTAAATGACGGAACTCTGCAAACACTGCAGCCTCTCAAGTCTGTGGTGAACCCAGAACATATTTTGTTGAAGCCCTACAACAACGTTATTTTGCTTTATATAACAAATAAAGGCTCGCTGCTCATTGAAAAATCCACCGCTGTCCTGACTACAGGCAACAGAGAAGCTCCTCCCACAGGCAACAGAGAAGCTCCTCCCACCGGCGTCACTCGCGTCAAAAGCTTCAAGCACCAAAATGACAAAACTATCCCGGCGTCAGTTGAAGCGCGTCAAAAGCTTTTTGAAGCTTTTGTGTGTAACTTTGGCTGACTCTTGTCCAGGACCCTATTGAAAAAGAGGTTCTTAATCTCAATAGGATTTTCCAGGTCGTATAAAGGTTAGATAAAAACAAAGTAGCTATCCATCCATCCATCCATTTTCTACCCTTTAATCCATTTCTGGGTCATAGCACCAGCCCCTCACTGACCCTCTGCAGGTGGTGAGTCCACAGGAGGACGGCTGCTCTCTGAGTGTGAGCATAGCCTTAATCTTTCAGTGGGGGCTTTGGGCAAAATGGGGTTAAGTGTCTTGCCCAAGGACACAACAACAGCAGTCATCAGCGGGAGTCGGTGGAGAAGGTGTAGAGGTGGGAATTGAACCCACGACCTTCAGGCCTGAAGGCCCATGCTCTACCAACTGAGCTACTGTCGCCCCACTCACAAAGTTGGAGTGTGCATTAGTTCACAAAGTAGCTAGTGAGATTATAATCACAAATTCACAAGTAACATTACTATGTCTAAGACCAAGTACTAGAAAACAGTGAAAAATAATCCGCACAGCTATGTAGCTCCCAAAAACAGTGTAATTTATTTACATACCACACAAAATAGTAACGTTTCGGGCTGAGGCCCTAAGACCAAGTACTAGAAAATGAACGGTAGAGTACGGACTGAAACTGTTAGGATGTGTGAATAAATGTTTAGAAATTGGTTTAGGAATGTATAAAGGTGTAATATGACATTTGTTTGTTGTGGGGCGTGGCCTATAAACCGATCCGATATTCAGTATCGTTATTGGGGGCTGATATGGGTATTTTGTGAGGATCGGATAATATCGGATTTGTTAAATATGAAGCCGATTTACGTCACTTGCTTACGCTGCCGGCTTTTGGCTGCCGTAAATTAAATACAATGTAAAACTAGGGCTGGGCGATAAAACGACAACGAGATATATTGTGATAGACACGTGTTTGATATCAATAGAAAACGGGGTCGATAGAATGTTAGTTTAACGTCACTCCGTCACGTTCGGCATTCTGGGGGATGTAGGCATAGGCTTCTCAACCTATCACAGCCAAGTGTCAACCGCAAAACTTTCTGGGAAATGCATAAACAACAACCGCACAATGCGTAGCGTACACGGATCTAAAGATTGTTTTTCAATGCCGTGTCAATGGTTATGCATGTCCGTGCGAGGCTTAGCATGTGCGGTGTGGCAGAGCCAGTGGACACAGAGACCCGATGCATGCGGCGAAAGCAAGTGATGAACTTTTTCCTCCGTCCGGCTATCAGAGAGCTATCAGAGAGCGGCCGCACAGAGCCGCCATGGGGACACAAAACATCAGATAAACCAGGACTAAACCAGGATTTCACCAGGACTAACTATGGGGGAGACTGCTTGTGAACATATTCCTTGCGCCTGATTTCCCGTGACTGTAAACAACGCTGCTAACGTGTGTTAGCCGACACGACAAACGTATTTATTCAGGTAAAAATGCTAATTCTTTAATGCTTTGAAAATATTAGAAAAAATTGTATTGGATCGGTATCGGCAAAACAATATTTAAGAATATCGGAATCGGATCGGATTACAAAGATTCTGGATCGGTACATCCCTAGTTGTAAATAAAGATAATTTAATCTGAATCCAGCCAACTTCAGCTTCGCAAATTAAGGCATGCGTTACAACAGTGTAAAGCTCAAAATGCAATAATTGACTTTATTTATAATTAACTATTCCAGTGCTGGCAAATCAACATGAAAATATCGTACTCTATTTTAAAAACAAGAACAGCCCAAATCCAGTTAGAACAGTTGCGCAATCTCGGGAGGTAATGTGGTCCTCTGTGGTGTTGTATGTGGCCCTCTGTCTTGCTAACACAAAGAAGCCATTATGAAGAGATTATAAACACAAATTCACAGTTCAATTTAAACATAAAAATAAAGGTATGAATGGATGGTGTTAGTCAGAGGCTTTGATCGTGTTTGGCGCCTCGCTTCTGTCATCACCGTGTGTGGAGTGAATGGAAAATTATCTTTACTCCAAAAACATTGTGAAGTGCTTGGTCCTGGGTCTATTCCACTTCCCTGCCTCTCTGTGTGGAGTTTGCATGTTCTCCCTGTGTCTGCGTAGGTTGCCTCTGGGTGCTCCGGTTTCTCCTACCACTAAAAATATGTACAATAGGTCCAGCATGTGCCTCCTGTATGTGGAGGGAGAGTCAAATGCCCCCAACAATTGTGAAGCGCTTTGTGACTCTGGTCTGTGAAAGGCGCTACATAGATTAAATACTGACTTACGGACTTACAGTGTCATCCAGCAAACTTCAGCTCCACCAATGTAGGCAAACATTAAATCGTTGACTTTATTTGTATATATCCTACTTCAGTTCTGGCAAATGTGAATACATATGGAAATGTCATACTCTATTTTAAAACCAGCTCAAATTTAATTAGAACAGTTTTGCAATCTGGGTTGTCGGCGACGGCCCTTGGACAAGTCTGGTAAACAAAAGTGGCCTTCGAACTGAAAAGTTTAGGCACCCCTGGATTAAACCGTTGACTCTGACATTCCAGATGTGGTCCTTTTGTGGAACATGTACCAGTGCCAGCGTGATTTAGTGCTGCATGGCCAACACTGGGATTATCTGTGTCAAACGATATCTCTCTTTCTGTCTCTCCCTCTCTTTCTGAAAAAAAAAGCAAAAAAAAACAGGTCAAGTTTGATGTGTGCATTGATAATGGGACTCCCAGCAGTGTGAACTTCTGTGTGTGGTTTCATTCATGGCTGATGAATGGAGTGTTTTGAAGTGCGTAAACGTAAATATTAGTGATGTAGCAAATCCAGCTACAATAGAATTTGTTTTCGGCCTACAAAAAGTGACCCAAGAGTGACTATCTTCAGAACAACTTTGTATCATTGCTATGCTCTTGTACTATCAAAGACCACTTATCACATCTGCTTGTAGGCCTTTAAGTGCCACTAACCCAACATTTATGCCAGTATTAACACAAACCACCATTACAGTACAGCAGATAATGAAACCAGTTTATCATATTTTTTCCCTCTCATTGGCTTGTGATGTCAGTTAACTTGGCTTTGTTCAGAAAGAAACCGCTGCACCTGTATTTCTCGTTCACCTTGTAATGGGCCGAGCATGGGGTTGGTGTGGAGTGTGTGGAGTATTGATTTTGAACTGAAACATAGAAGGTCGCAGTCTCATTACTACAGCAAATTATTTGTGTCACTGTGTCACTGTGCTAATCTAACCTTTCAGACCAACAGACCAGAGGAACAAGGGTGAAATCTATTTATAAGGTTGCATTGCCTTTTTGCAGGGCAGGCAATACTCAACAATTACAGATCTAAGACTGGTTCGAAGCTGTTGTTGTCTAAAGAAAAGTTAAAAGCATGTAGGATGTTAAGCCCTGTTTCCACCAGCCCTACTCGGCTCTACTCTTCCTGGTTGTGTTTCTATTACACTTCATTATCTGGTACCGTAATACACTGTTACCACTTTTTTCAAGTGGTAGGCGCGCTTTGATGCTAACAGAGTTAAGCTAGCGGCTTTTTGTGTTAAGTTCTTCTCCAAGAATGCAGCTCTTCAGTGTCTCTGTGTCCAGAGACCTTCCAGAGACAGCCGTATGTGTTCACGGAGGTACACCATGAGTTTATTTCATTATCAAACAGCACTTCCGCATTGGCCAACATGTTGGCAGCACTTGTTTACAGTCACTCTGTCCCCCATTGTCCCCATTGTCCCTGGTTTAGTCCTGCTTGAGCTCCTGTTTTGGCTGTTTATGAGTATTTTCAGTTTGCTCGCTAGAACGCTAGTGACTCGTGACCACTTTGTTACTCTCTCTGGTCGCAGCACGTGCACAGATGCCTGTGTCGTGCAGCCCGCGCGTGTGAGCCGTGACGCACATGCAGTTCCACGCTCGAACGGACGTCACCATTGACTTTGCATTGAAATTCGCATGATCTGGTCTGAACGCCCCATAACTATTACAACAAACCAATATCTGTCAGCTAGAACACTGTCCAGCTTGACCTGGATAGAACCAAGACCAAGCTTGTACTAGAAAAGTACCTGGTTCTGGTGGAAACGCTCCCACTGTGGGGAGAATAGAGTAGGGTCAAGTAGGGATGGTGAAAAATGGGCTTGAATATTGAACAATGTACAAAAGAAGAAACATGTTGCCCGAGCCTAGGTAACCTTTTGTAGTTCACTGCCTTTCAGGTTTTTATTTTTGAATGTTTTACAAATACATACACTCTAAAGAAATAAGGCCCCATTGAAAACGTGTTTTGCACCCATAAAACTGACTGGTTTAACTTATAAAGCTGCAGTTAATACTTCATACACTTCATTGGCTCCTAATTCAGACCCGGATTGACTTTAAAATCCTCATGATCGTTGATAAAGCCTTCCACAGTCTGGCGTCCTCATATATCTCTGATTTAACTTGTGCAATGAAGAACCTTTGTCCTTGGATGTCATCAGTATTATGGAATTCTACAATATCAAAAGCGTCAGTATCAGTAACCTTTTCATTCTTTGTTAGATGAAAAGCCCAGAAGTGTTACTGATACATTGTAAGTTTGTCATTCAACAAACAGAACAGCCTCAATGTATTTCTGACCGTGTACTCTCTAGAGTCTCTCTACATCTATTCTTTATCCGTGACTGGTATCCTGAGTTGCTTTTGATATATTTGATTGATTTCGTCTATCTAGGGAAAGCCCCAAAAATGAGATGCAGCGTCTCATTTTTGAGAGTGTCTGTGTTTGCCAATTATTTTGATAATTGCAGAGGACATAGTAATATAGTAAAAATATGATAAAAACTAAATGAGATTAAGTCAAAGACGTTTCACTTTTAACAATTCCCATAGTTACCAACTGCCCTTTACCACTTAAACTAGAGTCTCTTGTAAAGTTGTGATATCACATAAAGTTGTAAAGGATTTAAGTATTTGCTGTCTTTTAAGCAGTCAAATAACATTGCAAATTTCCATTCCATGTTGTTATTGATCTTAAGATAGATATAGAGGCATCTCATTGATCTGCAACACCAAGGAAATCTCATCATACATATTTGATTGCATGTTAAATGTGTCACATTTTTAAAAGATATATCTTCTCTTTTATTGCAGCCATGGAGATCCCCAGTGGCGCGCGCTTTGGGAAGCTCTCGTCACCGGCGTTGCCAAGAGCTCGGCCCTTTAAGCCTGGACCACAGCAGGACGCAGTGAGAGCCGCGACTGCCCCAGAAACCAACAACAAGCACAGTGAGTGACATGCTCCGGGATGGCCACATACCAACATGGCGTCTGTGGTTAAATATGTTTGTGTACGTGCGATTGTGCCTGTGCCAACTTGAACTAGATTTACAAACTGATGATATTAGGTAAAGTATGTTGTATCGTATTATCTTTGGCTTTAGGCGTGGGGCGGTTTTTAAACAGGATTATAATTGTATGCTGTAACTTCAGGATGTGATATTGGCCAAACAATACAAACTGTAACTAGTCAGATAAATGTATTAAACTAACTTGTCTCTTGGAAATGAGATACGCCTGTCTTAACAAAAAACATACTTACAAACATACTTTCTCATAGCTTCTAGCTTGCTTTAACGTTATTTGGTATTTGACATGTTTTGGCAGTACTATTATGGCGGTAACTATTTTCTGGTTTATAATCTGAGAGACTCAAACAGACAAAACATGGTATTATTAGAATTGTACATTGGTTCACAAGTAATCTGACACTACAAAAATTACACATATGACTCTGAGGACAATATTTTCAAGATTGTATTTATTATGGCTGTACAAAAATGTGTTTAGGATTTGGCGCTTAGACCCCGGCACAGCACTGCACTATTGCTAAAGGGGAACAAGATTATGAGATGAAAGCCCCCCGGGGCCTAGACCCTGGTGGTGGGAGCAAGGAGAAGGATGAAGGAGGCGGAGATGGGGATGAGGAGGGTTGCTGCTTGAATGGATCTTCCTAGAGATAGGACGCTTGTTGAGGGGAGTGCTTGGTTTCCTCTAGGTGAGGATTGGCGTGTGGCGTTGCAGCTGATTGTGATTGACTGATGCTGTTGCTGTGAGCAACAGTAGGAGGACCTAATTCAGAGGACCAGTCTGAATATTCGTTTGCGTAATTTCTACTGAGATGACAAGGAAGGTGAACTTTGCTGAACTATACCAATTTCTTGTTTGTAATGACCTCTGATATTTAGAAAATCATAAACATAGAAATATGAATACATATAGAGACATACATACAGAAAGGTCCACTATTTTATTTGCAAATTGGTTAAAGATAGCCTTAAGTCTCACGAGTCTCTTTGTGAGTGTTCGAAGTGTTTTTCAGTTTGGGATCTTAAAAGTTATGTAAAACAGGACAGAGACGCTCATGGGGTTTCAAACTGATAAAAGCAGTTATTGAATCCTGGCTTGAGGTTTCCTTAAAAACGCCAACGCGCTGCAGCCTCACGTGGGCATTGTCAGAGCACAGATTTAAACTGGGATAATGATATTGTTTGTGGCATAGAGTTATAATGCAATCAAAAAGATCCTTTGTTGGTTGTTTTCTGCTGTTTTCCCCTAAAAATAGAGGGGCTTTGTCAAAAACGACACTGCCACAGTATATCACAGTATATGTCCCACTCATAAATACGATAAGCAATCCTTTATTCGTCCCACAGTGGGGAAATTTCAATGTTGTGTGATTTTGTGTCACTGTTCTGTACTATTTACTGTATTTGTGTTATGAAATTGCATTGAGTTTGGGGGTGGGAGTGTTCCTGAGCTTCTTGTTTCAACCAACTCCCTTTGAGCAGAAATCTCGTGGAAAACCTGCACAAGTGCGCCACTTTCTCAAAATGAAAAGTTAATTCCTCAAAAGCAAGTCTTCAGGTCAATGAAACTGTCTGTGTCATCAAAATAATAAGTCCTGACACCATTGTTTGTGAACGAGAGTCAAAAGGATTAGTCATATTTTCATTGTGATAGTTTACGCTCTCTGTGTTTTCTTTGCAAAAAAGTCAGATCTTGGTGACACTTGAGCACTACACACTGTACAGCTGTTTGAAAACTACAGAAAAGTAACACATGACTGTATTTAGTGAGGTAACTGAGTACAAGACATATGTATTACTGTATGTATGTGTGTATGTATGTACTGTTTGTATGTATATATTTCACATACATTAACTGCAAATGCTTTTTGCAATTGTATAGCATTGTGCAAAAATAGCATAATGGTAGGACTGGCCACAAATGTAAACAACCCAACAGTACATATTACTGAAAAACTGTACCTACATTATTCCTGGACATCCACGCCTTCCTGTCTGTGTGGCCACATATTTTCATCTACATCACAGCACATGTCTTCCCTTGCAGCCAGCAAAAAAAGTATCTCCTTAAGTGGCAAATCCACCTCCTCATGAGCAAACGCTGAAGTTCACCTGAGAGCAATTGTTCAATTTAGGAGAGATTTTCAAGAACAAAATGATAAGGAATGTATGAAATTTGCTCGACAGAATTTGATTTTGAGAACTAGTTCAACAATATTGACCACGCAGTTGTCACAAATATGTTTCATTTTGACTGACATGACAGAAGTAAATCATAATGTTATAAAACAGCAGAGAATTGTATGAAAGTAACTGATACATTTCCAAAGCATTTGTAATTTGTTCAAATGAATGAGAAACTGCTACAATGATGTGCACAAATGACTCAATGTTGTGGAGATTAATAGTTTTGAGAACTTTAAGTCTGATCCAATAAATACAGAAGCAACTGAGAACTGTAACTGTAACAAACAGTATTTTACATTTTATCTTTTTATTATTATTGTGGACATGACAACAGGCACAACATACTACAATTACATTTTTGATAATTATAGTCCTGTCACACTGATGAAAAAAAACACACACAAGAAACCATTTGAAAAAACACAGTAAGCCAAGCACCAGGTTCCTGCCCTATATTTGCATGTTTGTGTTGGCTCATATCCAAATATTTGCAAAACAAAAGAAGATTTTAGGACATTCTTAACTCAATTGGGACATGGCTAAAATGTATTGGCTTTAATTTGAGTAACCAAATCAATGTTAAAATAAAAATATACAGCTAATTTGCATATGCTGTGAGATGTGAGAACCACTTTCTTTCAAACTCCACCAATCCCAGACTCCTGGTGTAGTTGCTGGCAAATACAGGACAGTGTGTTCTGAGGGATGTGTTTTTAAACTGCAATGGTTGATTGGGTATTAATATGCAATAAACCATGTATTTGTATTGCTTAGTAGCTGTAAGTATCACACCAAACCTCGGTCAATAGAAAAACAGTATTTGGCTTGAATTCAAAGGCAAAGCTGGATGAACCTCCCACTGGATCCTTATCATTTACTACTTCTCCAAAACGGGTATTTCCTTTTTGCAAGCTCCAACTGCCACTAGTAATCTCATAATCCGTTGTGGTTATGTAACGTTGTTGCAAATTAAGTGGTATGGGTTAGGGTTAGGGTTGGGGTTTTTTTACTCAATAAAAGCAAAATCAAAATCAAAATGGAAAGCCTTTTTTTGGGACCAGACTCTTCCTGCTTTGTCCAGACCTGATCTGTTCCAGGAGTGTCATTGGATGGAAAGGAACATTTTGTAAAAAGAAAGTTTAAATTGTTGTTAAGCAAGTTCTTAGATCAGTTCGTCTTGATTTCGACTGTGCATAGATGGACCGTGCTAAACATTTATCTCAATGAAGCCCAATAGGGAAGTGCGTATGGACAAAGTTTTCCTCTGACTCATTCTGGCTCTTATTGACTTACACTGAAGAGTAAACTGTTCAGTAACTATTTGTGTCACACTCACCATTTTGGGCTTAAACAATCAGTGGCTTGGCTTTGTGAAGATATGAGCCATGTAACAATTGACCAATCAGTGACCTTAGACCACAGTAAAACGCTAAAGTTGGGATCGGTTTGGCCTCCTGTTTACACGGAGCCTGATCGTTCCTTCTTTGTGTGCAGGAAGTGGTGTTCATTATGTCTGTGCGAGCAACAGCTTCCAGCTCCATTTGATTGCAAACGATTAAGATCTACATTCCTCCACATTATAGCAGCTAAAATCCTCTGTTTGGCTGAAAACTGGCTCTCATCTGGCTCCAAACCAGGGCTTTTCCTGCTTTAGTGGAGGCTTAGCTGGTGTCTCTGCCAGAAGGACTGGGATGTGTCTCTGTCAAAATCATCATTAGCAACCGACCACTTCGCTGTTCACCCATTTCTAAATCTTTTTAACTTCTTCATAATTAGATCACTTAGCTATCGTTACAAACTGTGGCATCTGAACTCGATCACAAACCCAAAACATCATGTGTAAAGTGAATGTTCATGCGTTTGCTGCGACTGTCATAAAAATAGGGCAACTTCACATAATAACAGAAAAAAACATGTTGCAATGTATTTATTACTTTACAATTATTATTATTTTATTAGACAGGGATGTTCTATCTAGGAAACCCTCTGCAAACCCAAAGTTACGTGACGAATACGCTTTGAATTCCCTTTATGAGACTGACATTTTGAATGGAATGAGGCATTAATGCTGCGGTTCCTAACGTTTATTTATCATGTTTGTTTGTGCCAACAGGAGGTTTTGTAAAAGTAACATTTTAACAATACAGACCACAACATGCTGCATTCATCTTACTAAAAACATCATCTTTTACATACCTGTAAGAAAGAGCGTCTTTACATTTTTTGTCTTCAAAAGAACCGTGTAAGCTTTGACTATTTGATGCTTTGGACTGAGGGAGCGTATGGAAATTAACCAAAAAATACATGTATGTAAAAACTAGTGATAAAAGTGTTTTGAGAGAAAAGAATTAGTGAGATGGATTTTAATTTATTGCAGTTTGAAAATGTTGCCCACCATGTTTAAGTTTACATGTATACGTCATTGCTTTATATGAGACACAAAACAATCAGATTTGGTTGATATCACAGAGCATGTTCAAAGCCAACCTCTGTCATTAGAAGAGTTATTGGTAGTTATCGTTTGTGAAGAATGCATGACCTGGAGTAAGTGATGCAAGAGGATAAAATCCCTTCTGTCTGCGCTGGTGTTTGCGAGTTCTTGAAATTCCTCTCTTTTATTGGAGGAAACTGAGACGCTGACTACAAATGAGGTCTGTGGTTTATCCTTGAGTGTAATTGGTGTGGGTTGTCAACTTGCCACACCAGAGAAGCAGGAGAGGATTTGGTGTCGCT